GTGCATATCTATTCAAAAAACAAAACCTGCGTTTTCAGCGGATGAGGCTTTGGGGTTGTTTTTATCACTTAAGCTAACCAAGTGGCAATACAATACATTAAGACAATGTGCTAACGAAAAAGACAGCAATATATTTCCATCCTATTATCAAGTACAACACGCGAAACAGGAATGCTATCCAGCACAAGACGCTATCACAGTGACAGAAACCTCGGCCAAAATAAAGTTACAAGCTCTACTGGATATAACGACAAGAAGAATAATGATGTCACTCGTCATGGATAGTGATTGTAAAGAATTAATACTCATCAGTAAGTGGGGATTTGACGGTGCTTCTAATCAAGCCAATTACAAGCAAAGAATCCAAACAGACGACGAAACTTTAGAAAGTCAACTTGATGATTCAAGCATATTCATGGGAAGCTTAGTACCAATCAAATTGGTTAGCGGCGAACAAGTCATCTGGCAAAATGATTCACCAAATTCATCATACTGGTGTCGTCCCATCTTTTTTGAATTTGTGAAAGAAAACAAAATAACCATACTGCGGGAAAATAGTGCTATTGAGGAAGAGATTGCTAATTTAGTGGAAACAGAAGTTGGAGAAAAAAATATTTCAAACTCTTTATTAATGACAATGATAGACGGAAAAGCAACATCAATTCTATGTGACACTTCATCTCAGAGATGCGACATTTGTAAAGCTACTCCAACTGAGATGAATAATTTACCCTTAATTGCGTCAAAACCGACAAATCCAGATCTCTGTAGATACGGATTGTCATCATTGCACAGCTGGATACTAATGATGGAATGCATTCTGCATATAGCTTATAGATTAACGATACAGACATGGACTGTTAAGGGAGACAACAAGTGCATCATGGAAAGCAGAAAGAAAAACATACAAGACGCTTTCAAGAATAGAATGGGACTTCTGATTGATGTTGTCAAACAAAGTCACGGCTCCACCAATGACGGAAACACCGCTAGAAGATTTTTTGCAAATCCAACCATGACTGCTGAGATAACTGGTGTCAGTGAAGAGTTAATAAGGCGGTTCGCAATCATTTTAGAGGCAATTTCATCGGGCTACCATATTGAGGTAGTCAAATTTCACGAATATGCTCAAGCTACTATGCAACTGTATTTGGACTTATATAACTGGTATTATATACCTTCCAGTATTCATAAAATTCTTATGCATGGTGCAGCTATCATTAAAAGTTTTGGTCTAATACCAATTGGACAGCTATCTGAAGAAGCTGCCGAAGCTAGAAATAAAGACTTTCGTAGGTTTCGTAGACCAACACCATTCCAGAAAATGCAGCAGAAAAGCTACTAATAGAGATATTTTAAATAATTTGTTGATTAGCTCTGATCCACTTATTTCAACAAAACGCCACAAACTTCGCAGAAAACATAAAACTTTGTCAGGAGAAGCACAAAATTTATTAATTATTGAACAGGCAGGGACATTTAATGATGACGAACAGGAAAATTTAGCATTCGTTAATGTGGATACCCCTGACAATGATTGAATTAAAACAGAGACTAGCAGTGTTTGAGATTTTTATTTACTTTATTAGGTTTTCAGTGGATTAGGCCTCAAGGGGACACCACTACAAAAAAAACGCACCTAGTTCTTAACCTCTAGGGTGGTGTGGAATAGAGAACAAAAGTTGACATTGCGACCAAATCGGGAAAAATCGAGACCTGAGAATAGGCGTTAAAATAGGAAAAATATACGTCCTATGCATAACTTAAGTCAATTCTTTGAGAAAATTTGAGAATTGGGAGATTTTCACATTTTTTTGTTTTGTTTCATACAAAAACAACTTTGGAAATTAATAACTCCGAAAATACTAAGTTATCTGAAAGACATTAATAGTAATAGTTTCTTATATTCGATAGACAAATCCAACACAAAATTTAAAATTCCAAAAAATAATACTTTTTTTTTTTAAATGCTAAGTCCACTACCTGCCTTTTTCAGCCCATTGTGCGACGTTTCGGGCCCTTTACAGGTCCCATGGTCACGGTTGACTGAGGTCGTACAGTCTTCAACCAGTTATGTCTAATATTGATGCAAACCACCTTATTTTTTCACTATAGTTACAATAGTTATTAATTAAATACCTTATTTTTAATTTTACAAAGAAAACATTCCAATTTACGCTACATTAAGTTTTACAAATTATTTGGACCTGGACCTACAAGGACCTGGGGTTTGTCAAACTTCATTGAATGTGTAGGTTTATCCATGACATGCTCGCAGACTGCAGACTTGTTGAGGTGTCTGCAGACTGCAGACACCTCAGTCAACCGTGACCATGGGACCTGTAAAGGGCCCGAAACGTCGGTTTGTTTGAAAAAACAAATATACGCGATTTAAATCCGGAAAAATAGTTTCATTTCCTATTCATTCTGTTTTGTTGTGCACGTAAACCCGTTATTTTAATTGTATTTTGGTCTGCAGGAAGAAATTTCTTTCAGAAATAAACAGTACCTTTTGTTTGTATTTTCCGTTTTACTAAATGTAATTAGTGTTTTCCTGTGGAATAAACGGTCGAAAAAATAATAAAATAAAATTAAATGCAATAAATAATTGATTAAAGTTTGATATATTTTTTTTTAAAAAAGGAAATGAAACTATTTTTTCGGATTTAAGTTGAGTATATTTGTTTTTTCAAACAAACCGACGTTTCGGGTCCTTTACAGGTCCCATGGTCCCATGTAAAGTTGGTTTGTTTGAAAAACAAATATCCTTACGCTTAGAGCCGGTTACGGTTTGGAGTCGAAAAAATAGTTTAATTTCCTATGTGTGTGATACTACTATAGTGCATCAGAAATATTCTTCCTAGCGCATACGGACGGGTTCTCTGCTGTGCTTAAAACGATAGTTTCTTCTCTTAGAAAGCTGTTACAGCTCGTAGTTGCAACTCGTCCATACTGACTTTAGTTTCTCGTGACTAAGTAATTGTGTATATAGGGTGTTATAATTTGTTAATAAGTTATTTAATTACTATTTCTAAATTTTGTCATTGCTCGAATTTGTTATGTCTGAAATAAACGTTTATTATTATTACAATTACTAAGACCTTTTCTTCTTCTCTTTTGCTTATTGGCGGTACCTACGCTTTTTTTCCATATTATCTACCATTAGGCTGATGTCAGTTTTGTGGTATGTTGCTTGGTTGCCTGATAGAATGGAAAAAAGTTGTATAACCCTGTGTCGCGGGTGCCATGGACACACATAGACAACGACAAATTACACCCAAACTCACGAGAGAAATAAATGTAGGCCATACAAATATTTCTCCCGGCCTGGGAATCGAACCCGGAACCTCTGCGTGGCAGTCCGGCGTGGTAACCGTTCGGCCACAGAGGCAGTTTATATCATTGAAATATATTGCCGAGTAGGTCTTTTTATTTTTCTCTATTCACTTGGATTTTACAATTTAACTTAAATGTGCGTCCCGACCCCGCGGGCGAACTTGGTTTGAATTTGGTCTATGCGGCGGCGGTATTATTCAGAGGAATTTAAATGGTGTTGCTTAGTAAATAGAATTCATATTCGCCATTAATGTACATGAGAACTTTCGCCTCGTGTAACTAGGCGTTAAAGGTCATTTCGAAGATTGAAAAGATTTACATCGATAAAACTGAAGCCATATCCGTTGCCAAGGTGCTTTTACATGAAAAGACAGTGCTGTCATAGTGCGTAATTATTTTTTACCATCTATGCGTAATTCGAATCAAAAGCGGAACTTCTTATTCTTAATTTTATAGCTCCTCGCGGACAGAGTTTGAGTCAATTTGAATGACATTAATTATAAAAGGCGCACCAACAGTCAAATGTTACCATCATTGACTTACAAATAAATGGACGACGGGTCTAATACAAAAACCACCAACAAACCAAATATTTCTATTCCTCAATACATTTTTGACATAAAAAAAACTTTAAATTATATTGTGTCGAATGAATGAAATATCCTTTACTGCACATTAAAAATTACAATGACAACAAAGAACGGAAAGAAAGGAGTGAGCGCCCAGTTACAAGTTACCACACTTTCACGTACATTAACGGCGAATCTGAATTCCATTTACTAGGCAACAACATTTAAATTCCTCTAAATCCACGCCACGCGGCCGCCACGTAGATCAAAGACAAGCCTAGACAAGTTAAAACGTAAAATCTACACAAATAGAGCGTATTTTGCCATGACAGTTATTTGCACGCACCGCTGCGCGGCGGCCACGCGGTCTCCACGCGGCATCCGCGCGGCGTGATCACAATTATTTGACACGAATTTTTAGTCTTCGCAACTGCGTTATACTACATATAAATCAGAACGACATGCCACACGGTGCGTTGAAACAGCGCGTGTCGACGGAACAGCTCGTGCAGCACTCAGCCCGCTGAAATCAACGCAGTTGCGACGACACAACGCCCGTGTGTCATAAGTGTAAGGGAGACTTTGAGGGAAACACCCGCGTTGATTTAGTCAGAAATTATATAATTGGCTTATTCCATTGACTTACAA